AAAGTCCTTTTTATGAACATCATTGAAGATGAAACTCATTTTGCAAGAGAATAAAACAACTATAAATGACAAAAATCTCAGAAATAGACATTGCTAATGATCTGAGAGCTCATTATGATGCAATTGACAAGGAAACTCAGTTATTTCTGTGTTACATAACACTTCAATAGCCAAAATATTGAATGATGATGATCTTATACCAGCATATAACATAACATACCAAAACAAACAAGCCTAATTAGTCAACGAGACTTTGTTAACGATTTAAATCTTGGGGAAGTTGGTTAAAAAAAAAAGAAAGTTTTAAAGCATATGCCTAAGTAGGATTAGGGATGTTAAAGACCTCATAAAGGCAAAACATAGAAACTGGTTTTTCTGGGCAGGCAAAGAGAAAAGAGCTGTTTACATTTTCTTGTCAAGAGTAGACCAACAATTCAAGGAAACTTGTCTTTTTGAACAGAGAGAAAGCAGACTTTCAATCTTACACCAATGTACTTTAAAGTCCACTTATTTTAATCTTAGTCCTTCTTGCCCACACCTAATATTCCTTTCCCAAGATTTTCCTTCACGACTTTCTACAACTTTCCTTTGCATTCAGATTTTATCCCCAGTCATTTCTTTCCAAATAGCCAGTGTTATTTAGGACAAAATTACCTTCTTTTACCTTCAACAAAAATGTATTCCCGTTCCTTATATCTTTCTTACATATCTTCTAGTTTTCTACATACAGAGTTGTTTCTCTTATTTCCATCGGTCTTAATTACGTTTGACAGAATTTTGCACTGTTAGAAAGCTAAGTCTCCAGTGAAAATAAGTAGTAACCAGTTGTGAACTGTTACACCAGAACTCCTTAGACAACAATTTTACTGACCGTTTAAGCACAAAGCATGTTTACCAACAGACTCAAATATCCTTTGTTTCTTTGCAATAAGAAGTGAAAAAGCACAAACCTATATTCAGTTATCAATGATTTAGCACTTTAACGTATTTGGAAAAGACCTAGTTGTCCAATGAATTTAATCCCATTTATCTTTCAAACAACAGTTTGAGGTCAGGTCACCAAAGACTTTGATGAAAGCTATCTTAAATATCCTATGAAAATTTTGAGATTCATAAGTTTAACCACCATTTTAGTCTTTTTTT